GTGTCGGCACATAAGGACGCTGTCATAGCCTGACAACGATGTTGATTAGCTGTGTATATACGAATGTGAATCGCATCATTGGCTGGACTATGGGATAAGGCGGCATCATTCTAATCCCATACAGGAGCAGCCAGTCACTTACTGACTCACACTGCAAAACAGAATTGTTAAAGTATTTCAGGTTAGATTTATTTATTTATTTTTGTGCGCAACGCAGATTTTCTGCGCGCAGAGACCAGCAGTGCGCAATTGCGCACGCGTGCAGCTTAGAGGGAACGTTGGTCAACAGGAGAATAACTTGGTGACTTTTTTCCTTAACCAATCACACAAACTTAGAATTGGGACTAACTGGATGGTCAGTCAGGTCCAGTAGTTAAGTTAAACTGAGTTGATCATTTGCTGTGAAGCGTTTGTGTGATAGTCTTTCACGCACACATGACTGTTTGGACAGTCATAGCGACAACATTAGATGACAAATTTTACACTTTGAGGTTTTGGTCCTACTGGATTACAACTTCCAAGAACTTGGAATCTTATTGGATTATATCCACACAGAGATAGGCACGTCGTGGCCAAGGCATGCCCACTCTGTCCAACATGTCTCGTCTCTCACATCAGAATAAAATCAGCATAATCTCAGAGTAGGTTAATGAGATAAGTCCACCGATTTGATTGTGTGATTATTATGATTTGATGTGGCTTTTGCTTTGTTCCTGCTGAACTGCTTTTAGTAACACGCCCTGTATTCAAAAAGTCTAAATTGTGGACATTCCCTTTTTAACTTTTTTGAACAGTGAAGCATAAAACCTGCATATTCTTATAACATCACTCGAAGGGCTCTTACAGGTTACGCTAACCTTAAAATTAACAGTTAACTTGGTTTTCAAGGCCACTAAATGTAACCCAGTTATTTACCAAGCGCACCAATTTAGAGAGCCGTAGATAACCGGTGTGAAGGTGCACCAGGGCCACCCTGGTAAACATGCCTTCAAAGGGACCAGGTTCGTCTCCCATAGGGACTCAGTATCAGTTAGAGCTGGGCAAGTCTCCTACCTGACTCCATCTAAGCTCTCTTTGCCTATTGGGTAATTCTTAGAGAAGAAACAGAGAAACACCGGGGACGATACACAGAATGACTCGCAGACGCTCCGACGAAGAACAGAGGTAACCACACACTAAAAATACACACAGGGTAACAATCTAACTATACAAGACAACAGGGAAACAAAACAGAACACATGACCTGGGACACCTTTTAAGTAAAACAGGAAATACAACTGGCTCAAGGACACGGACTTGAAACTACACACGGGAGTACAGGGACCAAAACCTAAGAACTAGAGAAACCATCACAATTGCAGTGAAGCGCCAGATAACAACAAAGATCAATAATAATACACCCTGGACCGTGGCAGTTATTGGCTTGCGAGTTGTGAGAATTTTCTGTGTCATGAAAGTAACTCTCTTTTGACCTGGCTAAATCACCATGGTAACATGCTGAACACATAACCTGATTATATTCAGATTTTTACTTTAAAATCTTTAAAAGTGCCTGAGTTTAACAGATTATTTAATTTACAGCATGGTTTAAGTGAATCAGTCCTGCTTGATTTACCAGAACCATCTGAAATTTGAAATTTGGTCAGGAAAGCCTTAAAGAGTTGGTACAACTTTGAGTAAACTCAGTTTTTTCAAATGGCCTCAGTGTTTTGCTATGAAGCACAAAAAATACTGTAACTTAAACACGCATTTCTAATCTGTCCCAAACTTTACATTTGATCAAAGTCCCAACAAATAGGCACCGACAGCCAGAGCAGCACCGAGTGGGAATAGGAAATGTTTTTGCTTTGAGTATTATTCCTCACAGGCTGACCACATCCACTTAGAAAGAGGTCTGTATAAACTTCCAGCCTTGATGATGCCTTTGTGTAAAAATGATGGCTTTTCATTTAATGGCGGCTCTAGTGGCATGGCACGAAAAAGGAAGTTGTAATTGAGGGGGAGGATTTTAGAAAATCATAACATTATTATCATTATTATATATTATACACCCACTCATATATATATTAGTGGGTGTGTGAAACCATGAGGCAGGCCATGTGGTAGGTTTGTCTGTGTTTGAGGCTGAAACAGCCAAAAACATTATGAGACATTTTAAATTTAAGATTGACAGACAGACATTTTATTGTCATTCAGTGAACAAGGAATGAAATATTTTTGGAGTTGGCTCACCAAAGGACTAAAATGTATCAAAAATATGTTAAATATGTAATAAGTTATGTTGCATCCCGCTTCCATCCAGCACAGAGATGCAGCTGGTCACACACTCAGTGTACAACACTGTGACATAAACTTAACATGTGTTCTTGTACAATGTCTAGCAGGCACAGGAAGTGTGCCTTGTTTATGAAACAGACAAATTAGAATTTTCTGA